CTAACCTCAGGTGATCTGCCCACCTTGGCCTCCCAAAGTGCTGGGATTACAGGCATGAGCCACTGTGCCTGGATTCTTTTTCTAATTAAAAAAATTTTGGGGGGCTGTGCAAGATGGCTCACACCTGTAATCCCAGCACTTTGGGAGGCTGAGGTGGGCAGATCACCTGAGGTCCGGAGTTTGAGACCAGTCTGGCCAACATGGTGAAAACCCATCTCTACTTAAAATACAAAAATTAGCCAGGTGTAGTGGTGATGCCTATAATACCAGATGCTCAGGAGGCCAAGGCAGAGAATCGGTTGAGCCTGGGAGGCAGAGACCGCAGTGAGCCAAGATGGTGCCATTGCACTCCAGTCTGAGTGAGAGAGTAAGACTCTGACTAAAAAAAAAAAGAAAAAGAAAAATTGGCCAGACGTGGTGGTTCACACTAGTAATCCCAGCACTTTGGGAGGCCGAGGTGGGCAGATCACTTGAGGCCAGGAGTTCGAGACCAACCTGATCAATATGGAGAAATCCCATCTCTACTAAAAATACAAAAATTAGCCCAGCCTCGTGACGGATGCCTGCAATCCCAGGTACTCAGGAGGCTGAGGTGGGAGAATCGCTTGAACCTGGGAGGTGGAGGTTGCAGTGAGCTGACCGTGCTCCAGCCTGGGAGACACGGGACTCTGTCTCAAAAAAAAAAAAAATTGTTTTTGTTTTGCTCAAGACTATAGGAAAAAAAATAATAAAAGAAAAAAGAGGATAAGTGAATAGAATAAAAACAAAATTGTTTTTGTATGTTTTTACTGATTGAACACAGTTAGTGCATTCTTGTGTTTTGGAAGTTCATGTTGTAATGTTCTGTCCATTTTTGCTTTATGTATTTTGGAGTTCTGTGGTTTACTACATTTACCTTTATAATTGCTATATCTTTTTGATAGATTGACCTTTTCATCATCATAGAATGATACATATGAGTTTTGTCTCAACAATTTTTGTCTTGATGTCCATTTTGTCTCATATTAATATAGCTATTTTGGGTCTCTTTCGTTACTGTTTACATGGAATATTTTTTTTTTCCAATCTTGTACTTTCAACCTATTTATGTCTCTGACTCTAAAGTAAGTCCCTTATACCTAGCATAAAATTGGGCCGTGTTTTTAATGTATTGTCCAGTCTCTGATTTTCTTGAGACAGAGACTCACTTTGTCACCCAGGCTGGAGCACAGGTACGGTGATGTCAGCTCTCTACAGCCTTGGACTCCCCGGCCAAGCCATCTTCCAGCCTCAACCTCCCGGGTGGCTAGGACTGGCCACCACATTCAGCTACTGTTTATTTATGTTTTTTGTAGAAACAGGGTTTTGCCATGTTGCCCAGGCTGGTCTTGAACTCCTCAGCTCAAGCGATCCACCCTCTGTGGCCTCCCAAGTTGCTGGGATTACAGGTGTATGCCACCACGCCCAGCCAGATCTCTGACTTTTTATTTTATTTTTTCAGCATGTGTTAATCTTTTTATTGAATTAAGGCTTTTAATGAATCTCTGAGTTTCAGTTGGAGTGTTTAATCTATTTATAGTCAGTGTAATTACTGATAAGGAAGGCCCTCTGTCATTTTGTTGAGGGTTGCCTAGGTTATATCTTCCTTTTTCAGTTCCTTGTCACTGTCTTTTTTTTTTTTTTT